TCTACCTTCTCTCTGAGTTAATATCTCTTCACGTGGTTGGGACATATTACTTTGCAAGTGATGTTCGCGATGCCAAGAAAAAGTGTCCGGCTCGGTGGTGTGTCCGGCTCGGTGGTGCTTTACGTTATATACTTTATTATATACCACGGTATACTATTTAGTCCGGCCACCCGATCCGTCGGTCGGTTAGTCGGCTGGTTGGCTGATCACAGTCACAGTGACGATAGTGACAGTGGTCATGGTGGTATAATGCGTGGTACGCGTATATACCCAGTCACAACAACTCCCCAACAAACAAAAAAACAAAAAAACAATTACTATACGTCAACAGCTATGGGAAAGTGTGATGAGAAAAACAAGTGGGTAATGTGATGGCATCGTACGATGTTTTTTTGTCGTTTTCGCTATGGAAGACACTTACGACTTGCGCTTGCATGTTGCCTCACAGGGCTGTCTACAACGGTAAATCGAAGCGAAAGAGAGACATCCTAGAGCAAAGGGAGAAACGAAAGTGGCGAATTTCAAACGGTCGCTGGTCCAAAGTTTGTCGGCGAGTCCGGTGGGAGGGGCAAGCTGGAGGATGGATACCAGTAGTAGCGAGATAGGCGTGCAGCACACCCTCTTCGCCTTGGTGCGTTGAACTATCGCGAGTCGTGAGTTTGGTGTGGCTTTCACTATGGTATGGGGGCCGCACTAAGTGGGGGGGTTTCTCTTGTTCGTATGGTAGCCAGCTCGCTCAGCAGAAATGTGGCGGGGGTGACATTATTTCTCGCTTGCGTTGGTCTTGGTGCTACATACTAGTTTTAGGGTTTTGGAGAATTTGGGGATTTGTGGCGGTGGTGCCCGTTCTCCACGTGTGCATTAGTTGGGTGGATGCGGGCGTTGGGCGACGTCCAACGTCCACTTTGGGGTTACTGCATGACACACCGTGTGGCTGGCTGTCTTTTTGTTCCATTGTTTGGTACGGTACTGGCTAGCTTCTGCCAGAATGGCATGCGGGATCGGAGATCGGAGATCGGATGGACATCATCAGAAGATGTCATTGTGGTGGAACTGGTACGAAGAAGCTTGCATGAGACATTGAGCCTTCAATCCACCTATCTTACGTATAGTACATGACAGAGAAAGCTACTCATCTTTTTTGTTCCTCATAAAACAACAAATGCAACATAACCGCCGTATTTCTTCCATTCATCCTCAGACCAGACTCAACTTGACCTTCCTCTTGCCAGTGCTCTCTTCAAGCTCATCCGTAATCCTGACAGTGACCTTCTCAAACAATTCAACGCTCCTCTTGACATCGCTCTTGATATTGAGTACATAGTTTTCAGCATCGAAGTCGGCCTCTGGCTCTGGAGTCGCAAGATCCCTCAAGCGGATAAGGCTCTCAATACCAAAGCGCGGCACAAACACCACAAAGCCATTGGAAAAAATCTTCATGATGAACCCTTCCTCGTTGATATCCTTGCCCTTGAGCGCCTGGCCGACGTAGTACTCGATCGAAGCTCGGCCAGCCATTTGGGCATTGCGGTGACGAACATTGATGTTTTTGCATACGGCTTCGAGTTTGGCTTTTGATTGCAAACTGGCGTCTAATTGCTCGTATTCAATGGCAGCAGCAAGCTGACGATGCGCTTCGAGATCAGCATAACGACGAATAGGAGATGTGAAGTGGGTGTAAATTTCGCTGGCCAGACCGTAATGTCGAAACTCTGGATATGCTTGTGTACCTGCGCAAAAGTACTCCGCGGACATCATGCAGCGTGTAGCCATGATTCTGACTAGAGTGTTGAAGAAGGGGTTGTTAGGGTCAACACACTTGTCGAGCGAGTCGGCCAGAGCCTTGGAACTGTCCGTCTTGATTTCCATTCCCTTCTTCACCTTGAGCTGGTTGTCAAGCTCCTCAAAGTTTGTTTTAGGCGGGGCTGCGTGACGGCGCAACAGAGCTGTTTGTGGAAAGGCCTCATAGTTCTTCGCGGCGACACTTGTGTTGGCGAGCAACATGAACTCTTCTACGAGCGAGTTGGTGTCAAGATGCTTCTTGGTCTGCACGTCTGCTGGGTCTGACGTCTCGGATTCCGTTCGGACCTTGACCTCTGGCGAGGAAAGATTCAGTGCTCCTGCATCCATTCGCTTTTGCTTCAACTTCTTCGAGAGCATGAGCAGCGTCCGCATGCCCTTTGTTAGGTCGTCGGTTTGTGACTGGTCATCTATTCGAATCTGAGCTTGTTCGTAGCTAAAAGCCTCCCTTGAGCGAATGACGGACTTTGTGAAGTGAGAAGCAACAATATCAGCGTCCTCTGTCATTTCCCAAATCACAGAGAAGGCGTATCGCTCAACGTATGGTTTCAACGAGCACAGATCTGTTCCAAGAAGCATGGGAAGCATGTCTATGCGTTTATCGACCAGATATACCGTCGTTCCACGCTGACTGGCTTCTTTGTCCATTGCGTTATTCGGCTTGACAAAGTGTGATACATCGGCGATGTGAACACCGACCTGGTAGTTACCGTTTGGCAGTTTGTGGGCGTGGAGAGCATCATCAATATCGACACAGCCGACAGGATCGATAGAGCAGACTAGAAGATCGCGAAGATCCTTGCGCCCTCTCCAACCCGGATCATCCATGTTAGCGGGTACTTTCCAGTCGTGGCCTTCCGCAGGTAAACAATCCAAGACTGTCTTGGGGAATGGCTTGTATTGCACGTCCCACTCGAGTAGTAAAGCCTCAGTTTCTGCGCCCTTTGATTCAAGTTCACCAAGTGATCGAACAAAATGGCCAACCGGATACCGCGAATCTTTTTCCCAGGAGTCGATGGTTGCCAGAACGCGCTGACCAAGGAGCTCTCCAGCCTGCCGTGTTCGTATACGGATCTTGGGTATGCGCTTGTCCATAGGGACGAGGAAGACAGTTTGTTGCTGTCTACTTGATTTTGATGAAGAACGGACCGAGTCGCGGTCGATATGGCCCACGTATTGCCGCCAGTTACGCTTGATGATGCCCACAACCCGTGCTGTCGGCTGCGGCCGTCCTTCTGTGCTCTGACCGTGGACCCGTTTTACCTCCTCTTGTAATGCTCGTCGCTCCCTCACGGGAATAACGTTCTCCCCCTCTTCTGCCTCAGCGTTGTCGTTCTTGTTCACTGTCTCCTCTTCGATAATTTTTGTAGACGGTGCTTTCCATTGATCTTGAGGCAGTACTTCGACGACGACAACATCACCAGAGACTGCACGATTGCTGTTTTCACGTCCTAAGATGAGGAGTGACTTGTCGAAAGCAGGTACATGCACAGAGCCTTCGAGGTAGTTGTATGGTGAAACGTTGAAGATCCCCTGGTGTAAAGTTCCGGCTTTTACCCCCGTCATCATTTTTGAGACGGAGTAGTGCTCCGAGTAGAAGACTTCTGCCTTTTTTGATCTGACTTCGCGCTGTTCTTGCGCAGCACTAATCATGTCGAGAAGTTCATCAGAGTTTTCCAAGCCGGAGACAAAGTCGGATACTAGACATGAAGGTTAGTGTTGTGCAACCATGATTGCGCCAGAGACTCACATGTCAGACCAGGCACATCCTCGTTTTTGGCTTTGCGCAGATTGTCCCTGTCATCAGTAATCATGACGACGGTGGGGATGCGAGTCTGCGTCTTGCTTTGTGCTTTGACAGCGTCGGTGATGTGCTGGTTGTACCATTGAACAGCTTTGCGCACTGCCCGGTCATTGCGGTCATTGATCGTCTCGCCGGGCTCTCGGACTACATTTGTCTCTTGCCTGAACTCGTTGAAAAAGACGTAGAAGCGCTTGCCCTCATTCTTAGTCAGAGATATCAAGCGGTGGTAAAGCGGCAACGAGCGGTTCTTAACCTCCTCGAGCACGGTTTGCAGCACAATGACATCATGAAAGGCAGTTTCGACTTCAAACAGGTCCATGCCCGTGAGGAGGGCATTGGTGTCTGGAACTAGATATTGGCCATTTGGAAAATGCTTTGATCCTGCTGGTGTGTCGGACAGGACGAAAGGAGATGCTGAAATGGGTTAGTGTGGACTGCACGTGAAAAGGTGCTATGGTTAACAAACTCTTCTTGGAGTAGTCAGCGGGCGCAATTTCGAGACATGCTCTGCAGAGGTTCGATGAACAGGGAATGTCCTGTCGTAGATAGAGCTCTCTGACAATTTTTTGGACTTTGCCGCTTTTTGTTGATCGCACGTAGACCTTGCTGGAGAGATTTGATTGGCCACGGTCGGCAGCCGTGGAGCGCTTGAGACTGAAGTACTCCATGTGTAACTGAGTGCAGCCAGGGCGTGTGGCTGCGAGTGTGGGTGTAGTTGTGGTGGTGGCGGGCGTGGGAGTGAATAGTAGTCTGCGAAAGATTGATGCCAAGACCGGCAAGCGGTGGGCCCTTGCTCAAGCTAGCTGAGTGCACGCCAGATGACGGAGCTTGGTGGGCCCGCGTATGCAAGTCGTTAGGTGCAGAGGAGCTACTACATCGATACAAGCTCCCCAACCCAACCTCCAAGCTTCCACATCGCCCACCACCCCTCCCGCCGCTGCATCCGCACGCCCACCATGTCTTCGCCGGACCCGCCCACCTACCTGACGTCGATCCAGAACAACATCCGCGCCCGCCCCATCTCATGGGAAGGCGCCGTGCGCGCAAAGACCATCACCGATGCCGACCTCAAGAAGATCAAGTCCATCGACAAGGTCCGCAAGGAGCAGCGCAAGCAGACCATCGAGGCAGACGTAGATAGCTTTGTTACCCTGCTTGTCGGCGGCAATGGCTCCCAGAGCATCTTCGAGGCAGCCGCCAAGCGCCAGGACATCATCCACTACATGCTCGTCCTGCTGGGTGATATGATTGATGGTACGCATGCTGCCCTTATGCTGCTGCCTGCAACGTGAAGCTCATGGCGACAGATATTCCCGCCTTGACATCGGCCCTGGCCCGGCATCCGGCCCCCTACAAGCCATTCCTCCCGCTTCTCAAAGCCTCGTCCAGCAACGAAGACCCTGTGCCGCTGCTTACTTCGTCGGTGTTGTCTGGTCTGCTGTCACACGCTGTCACACAATCTTCCAAGACTACACCCCAGCTTGACGAGGCCCTCGCTCAACTCTTCTCCTACCTCTCGACACTGGCAAAAGCCTCCGACGCCGGCCTGCAGGACATTGCCGTGCGCCAATACTCTGCTGTGCTGCGCAGTAAGCGCTCTAGGCACATCTTCTGGGAGCATAGGAAAGAGACGTTGAACCCTCTATTTGACATTTTGCGCACCGCTGCGGGATCCGCAAAGGATACGGACTCGACCCTATACAGCGCTGGCGCCAGTATCCGCAGCACAGCTGATGGCGCCATCTCAGGTGGTGTTGGCCTCCAACTGCTCTACCACGTACTTCTCGTTATCTGGCAGCTCAGTTTTGAGGGCGAGCTCGTTGGAGAGGGTCTTCAAGAGTGCGCTATATCCCCGCCCCACCATCCTCTGCCCCCGCTAACAGCCACAGTGAACACGACATTGTCATTCTCTACACACAGCTCCTCAAGGTCTCTCCCAAGGAGAAGACTACGCGCCTGCTCCTTTCTACGCTTGTCAATCTCTTAACCACAAACCGTCAGACTTTGCTTCCTACCGCCGTCCTGGCTCGCCTGCCTTCTCTCCTTACAAGCCTGAAGTCACGTCATTTGACCGACGAGGATGCACTCGAGGATTTGCAGACTCTAAACGAGCTGCTCGATGAGTACACCAAGACTCAAACCACATTTGACGAATACGCAGCCGAGCTCCACTCCGGTCACCTTCGTTGGTCTCCGCCTCATCGCAACCCTACTTTCTGGCGAGACAATGCACGTCGCATATTGGAAGAGAACAAGGGCGAACTACCCAAGAAGCTTGCAGAGATTTTGTCAAAGAGCTGGGAAACTGACAAGCAGGTATTGGCAATTGGATGCAATGATGTTGCATACTTGGTTAAGGAGGTGCCGGAGAAGCGACAGCAGCTTGAGAAGTTGGGCTTGAAGGGCAGAGTTATGGAGCTGATGCAAGAGGCGGATGAAAGTGTGCGATGGGAGAGTTTGAGAGCTGTTGGCGAGTGGCTTCGGTACAGCTTCGAGTCCAAGACGGAGTTGCCCGTCAGGTAACGGGTTTGAACTGTATCAGTGTTTGTTTCGCGATGCAGTAAGAAGCGTGTTCAAGTGCTTGCCCGTGTACATCTTTGACGTCAGACGAAATATACGATACAGTAATCTGGCTACCAGATGTCTACGCGTTATCCACCAGTGTGTCTTCCATCGTACAGTACCACACACTCAGTATATTAGTACCCGGCATATCTCATCAACATTCTTTCATGTCATCACCCTGTACCCCTCTTTTGGCTTCTCGTGGTTATTGACCGTGTAACCTGACTGGAGTGCGAACAGTTGCTTTGCCTTGTGAACATGCAGTATCTACATTTTCATGTAGATTGTCGATAGGTTAATATATTGCAATGTATGATACATGGAAATAGAACGTGTAAGAGACTAGTATCGTGTATACATTTGTACGAAGGGGATTTTACATTGAATCATCCCAAGTTTTCAGAACACTCAGCAGCCGAATGAAATTCATTCTTACCGAAGCTTTCATTTTTGCTTACTTTAGCGCTAGAATTATTGGATTCCAAGCTGGGATGTTAGAAAAAAGCGGCACATCCCGTTTCTTGGAATAGTGGATCGATACACTCTCAGGTCCTGAACCTCTCTACTAGGAAGAGGAGGGAGAGATTTTGGTTATAGAATAACCAGGTTATTGTTTAGATGTAGTTTTTGAGATGGAGCGTCTGTGATGAGCTTTGGGTGTTTGGAAACACTTAACTTTCCAAACCCAATCCATGTGACTTGGGTTTCCAAGTGCAAAAAAAAGATCCAAAAAACATACAACAGCGGGGATTCGCCAGTGGTCACCCACCTGACTACTAGTCCGCCGGTCGAAGGCTTAATGTCTGGGGAGCGAACGGGACCCAATGCTGTACTTCGCCGATGGTCGTATGTGCCAGAAAAAAAAAGTTAGGGACCAGATATTCGGAGGTTGGTCGATACAAGTTTGTCAGGAGAGAGATATAAGCCACGTGACTTCGCAATAGTATCAGCGCCGTTTGCTTAGATATCTTCTCTTCATGTGTAGGTGGAGAATATTTACTTCACCCTCTCCTCGACACTCCCTACAGGCGCTTAGAAGAGAGAGATATAAGAGATATTACATATGTAGAGAAAATGGTGTGGTGGGGCAAGCTCCTGTGGGGCAAGCCTTCCCGCAGATGAGAACCACCATGCCGTCACTGCTTCAACCAAAACCTCCATGTTTCGACTCTTTCGACCACTGATCTTCACGAAGCCCTTCGTGCGGCCACTCTTGTCTGAAACAAAGGGCTTCAGTGCAGTGGAAGCACTAGAATATCTGGATAACACAAAGAAGCTTAGCATACCTGGATTCGACACCAATAAACCCGCAGTCTTTAGATCCGCATTCTCCGATTTCCCAGCGGCGAAGAAATGGTTCAAGGCAAGCAATGAACATTCTGGCTACCCTCAGAAGCTTGATATGGGGTATCTGGAAAAACATGGCAACGCAATTGTGCCGCTAGAAGTAACGCGACCATCCGCCCACAATGTGCAGAACGAGACGTTCGATCGCGTCGAAGCGCCTTTCTCCCTTCTTTTAGCCCACATGGGCGCAATGGAGGGGCAAGATGTGCGCCTTTACCTCGCGCAACACTTGTTAGAAGACCTTCCAGCGGAATTGAACAAAGATTTGCCCACGCCATTGACTTTCCTAACGTGCTTGAAAGCTCGTGGTGACATCTATGCGTCGAGTCTCTGGATGGGTAGACCGCCGACTCGTACTCCGTTGCACCGGGATCCGAATCCAAATCTCTTTGTGCAATTGGCGGGTAAGAAGAAGATTAGGATGATGACGCCTGAGGTCGGAAGAGGCGTGTTCGAGAGGGTGCGGCAGCAGATACGTGGAGCTGCTGGTGATGCGAACATGAGAGGTGCAGAGATGATGCAGGGGAGGGAGATGGAGGATCTTGAGAATGCAGTGTGGGGTGAGAATGAGAACGGAGTAAGAGGATGGGAAACGACCCTTACAACCGGCGATGCGCTATACATTCCTTTGGGGTGGTGGCATGCCGTGAAGGGTGTTGGGGAGGGCGCGAATGGTTCTGTAGGTACATCGGCTTATTTTACATGCCATATACTAAGTATGAATGCTAGGTCAATTGGTGGTTCCGCTGAACAAAGACCGCTTTTCAGAAGACCCCAATATTCCGCGTAGTTATACCGCAGCAGCGTTCAGTGGCCCTACAACTGCACTTCGACCCTGACAGTAGCCTCCGTCCCATCAATCCATGTTCCAATCGACCTTGTGCCAGGCAAAATCTCTACTTCACGCATCACACGCTCCATACCTATCTCCGCTTCGCTATCATCTGAATTCCAATCATCCTCCACAATTTCCGTAGCCGACTTGCGTACCGACATCCAGTCACCAGTTTCCCAGACCAGTCTGCATTTGATAGGCTTGATGTTGAGGTGCTTGCCTACGACACCAAGAGTAGTATATGCAGTGCTGCCCATTGGAATCTCTGTTTCAAAAATCGTAGATGGGGAGGTTGCGAGATAGAATCTGATGCGAAGCAGCCGGGCAGCCAAGGAGTTTGGATTCACAGCATTTGCGGAACGCTGGATATCAGGCTCACCATACTCCTCGCACAACCACTCGTATCTCGGATGACTTTTCAAGATTTCCTCCCGCAGGTTCTTAGATGCAAACTGAAGCTCCTTTGCTATCATGGAAAGATAGTACGACTCTGCGTTCAGCCGCTCTTTTTCGGTGATCGGACTATGGTTGAGCGTCTTGAGCTGACCCAGTCGCGCAAGCGTCAGCATGTACCCATCGTCGGCAGTCAAAGAACGGCCGTCTGGTGCCTGAAGCGATTGGTACAGGGGGTTATGTGAGACTCGCAGGCTCTGGAGGCCAGGAAAGACGTGGACAAGCTGCTCGATGAAGCTCCATGTCGTTATCTCGTTAAATGAGAGATCAACTTCTCGCACCGTTTTCGGGAATAGTGGTGCCGATGCGCCGGCGCCGGCTATCTCGGAGACTTTGTTAGATTTCAAGATCAGTCGCTGGAGGTTCGGTAGCTTCGATAGACATTCGATGGATGAGAGGGATGTGATGTGATTGTCTTCGATTGTGAGGTCGGTAATTGTTGGGTTGGGTGTATGTGATGTGAGTGCTGTATAAAGGTTGCTCGAGGCGGAAAACGTGGTGAGGGAAGGGAAGAGATGAGTAAGTCGTGCTATGTCAGCCCAAGGAAGAAATGTGTCTTCTAGCTTCAAAGACGTTATACGTGTAAAAGCTTTCCTGCACCTTTCCTGCTCCGCGTTCGTAAGATTTACATCTCGGAAGCGTGTGCCGCTGTTCTCTTTTATTAGCATTCTGCTAGAGTATGGGTGTAGCAGTGAAAGAAAAGGCAAAACCTACTCTACCCTCAAACTCCTCAGTTCGGGTAACTGTTCGCATATTGCCGCCACTTCTCTCCAATCCTCAAACAGATTCCTGCTCAAATCAAGTTCGATGGCTTTTGGACAAGCATCCTTTACGTCACTCTTCTCACCATCTTCCATCCACTTCGTGCCCCGTGCTTCTGGACGATGCATACATAGCCCATCCAAAATGATAATCCTCAATTCCGACAGCTGAGCGAGCTGCCGGCGAATCTTGTCGAACCCGATTTCCTCTGCTGGCTTTCCATTGAAAGTTACTGGCTTCCGATCCTGCTGTTTATGCGGTGCCTGAAGATTAAACACGACTTGGACATCCGGATCCTGGGGTCCTTCCTCCACATACTCTTCCTCTTCAGACGCATACTTTGCTTTGAGCGCCTTCACGAAGGTACGCGGCGGGTCTGGTTTGCGGGCTGGTCGGATAAAGGATCCAGAGGTCGGAGAAGGATTCAAACACGTAAAGTATTGAGTGCCTTGGTGCGAGCCCGAATGCTTCCCACGGGTAGGGTCGTCCCATTCTACTCCAAGCCATGTACCCGTTGTTCCCTCTACGGAGCCGTGGTAACGAACCGTACAAAGGTGGGAAGCATACGAAAGGCGTTTACCGAGATAGATATCTGTTGTCATTGCTGACCCTGATGTCGACCAGTGAAGCAACGTTGAGAGTGTACTGTAATTTTGATAATATTCACGTGGTCCTTCTCCTTATGTTGTGCCAGAAAATTTCTCAGTCTTATCGGAGTGGTTTTCGGAGAAATCGAACTTTTGCCCCAGAATCAATGCGATTGACTATCGTAGGCATCAAATTTGGGTGTTGCATGCAGGTATAAGGCAACCGTGCACGTGATGTGGCAAGTGGAGCCTCACTAGCGCGGTACCTGATCGCCGCTTCGAGAAGTCCTGATATGCGCATAGCACATCCACGACCAACGCGCCTCACTGCACAACCATCTGCACTCAGCAAGTACAAGTCGCGTAAGAGTATAATATCCAAAACTCTCGTAGCTCTTCAGGTTGACCAAAAACCTCTCTGAGAGCGATCAAATATGGATTACCAGGTATATTCACACGTCACGAAAAAGTTGAAAGCAGCTGCTAACTCCCACAGAATCGCGCAGGTTCCAAGTTTGGTGGAGGAGGTGTCGCCTCACAGTCTGCGACGAACGCCGATCGAAGAGAACGTCTTCGCAAGCTTGCACTCGAGACGATTGACCTCGACAAGGACCCGTACTTCTTCAAGAACCACGTCGGTAGCTTCGAGTGCCGTCTCTGCTTGACAGTCCATCAGAACGATGGCTCATATCTCGCACATACGCAAGGAAGGAAGCATCAAACAAACTTGGCGCGCCGTGCTGCAAAGGAGCAGAGAGAAGGGAAAAGGGACGATGTCGGCCAGCAAGGACTGCTTGCTGGAGTGGTGCCCAAGAAGAACGTCATCAAGATTGGGCGGCCTGGATATCGCATCACAAAAGTACGCGACCCCAACACGCGTCAAAATGGCCTGCTATTCCAGTTCCAATTTCCAGATCTCACCCCTGGCGTAACCCCCAAGGTCCGTATCATGAGCGCATACGAGCAGAGGGTTGAAGAGCCCGACCCAAACTACCAGTATCTCATTGTTGCCGGAGAGCCTTATGAAACTGTTGCGGTCAAGTTGCAGTCCCGTGATATCGACAGGAGAGAGGGCAAGTTCTGGTTCTGGTATGACGAAGACGCCAAGGAATTTTGGTGCCAGATCTTGTTCAAGACTGAGCGTGACGAACGTTTCAGCGCAGTTCCCGGTCTTGCACCCGGCCGCAAGTGAATCAACCCAAGGGCAATTTTTTTGCTTTGGAACTTAGATTTCATCGCTTCTCCGGCAAGACACGATTCATAATTTGAGTCAGGCAAGCGAGCTCTAGCCTGATCGTACGATACCAACAGTTTATGCATTTTCGAATTGATGGCGTTACAATGGCGTTATTAACAACAAAGACATCGATTTTGATGGAGCCAAGTTGGTGTATGTAAACCCTTGGTTGCAAGATAATGAATACAAATCTGACATAACAAGCCATTGGCAGAACCTTGCTAAGTCCTGAAGTCAAGAACATCGAAGATCAAGAGTGAATCCAACAATTGTCCCGGGACCGTCAGCATCAAACTCTTCGCGACTGCTGACGTTGTATATACAGTCACGTGATAATATATATTTGCTCAAGGTGAATACTGACGAGTAGTAGACATATTTCTGCAGTCTCGGCCTCTGCATACCTCGTAGACCTCATCTGAGCATGCTTGCTCAGTATTGTGTTGTTCAGCTGATCGCCTGCATTCGCGTGCCTTCCCTAAACAACATCGGTATCGATAGTCTGCAGCACCTGCCGCAGCATCCTCTCACCGTCTTTCCTCGCTTCCAGCCTCAACCTTTTCTCAATTCTACCATTCAGTCAATGTCTCAGCATCGATTTGCCTCATGATCTAATGATGCGATCATGTCCACCGTCATCTGGATACTAACATTCTTGGCACATTTCATTACTTTCTCTATCAAACGACGCATAAGTCGTTTGTTGTACAGCACATTACACATATCTGGTTCGCACTTGCAGGGGATGTGGCGCAGTGGCATGCAAATGTAGGTGCCTGTGTTTCCTGCCGTCTGTCCAATCCAGAGATTCCCTGTGAAAGGTGCATCTCTGCGGGAGCACTACCACTACCAATTCATCGACAGGGGTTCTGCAGCTTGTCGCTCCGAGACATGCATGCAGAAACTGGATGCCTTGGAGTTACTGATCAACAAAAAGACGTGTCAATCTTGCTTTTTTAGAGATTTGACCATGTCTGTTCTCTTGACTGGATAGTCTGAGCGTGATACAGACCGATGATGACCTGTCTGGAAAAAGACATATGCACCAAAAGGGACTGTTTCGGAGATTCATTGATCTACAGCCGCAATGCTTGGTCTAGCCCTGTCCCCTACTGGCTACGCAAGCTGGCTGTTTCCCTGTCCAAGTGTACACGACATTGGAACCGAAAAGTCAGATTCTCATCTTGAGATTGATGACGGTGGTAAGCAAGAAGACGTTTTCTTTTTCGTTGTAGAAGTCGTAACAAGGCTCCACGTGTTATGGGTGGGCACGATAACTCAGGGATTCCCACACCTCGTACTCTACCCGTCAGGGTCAATGCATGTGTGGCCCCTGGCTCGGTCCCATGAATTGAGGAAGACGCCCTAGGCGGAATCAAAAGACAACACGCATGAGTGCTACGTTAGACACGACCAGCTTCATCAGCCATCACGCTCTTCGACAAAGACATTTACGGGTGTTGTGGGTGATCATCTGATAGCTATGGATGGGTAAATGCGATAACCGCCCCGGTCTTGTCAAGCCTTCACGCAACCCAGTAGCGCCTGACCACTTGTTGACAGAGAAAACCATTGATTTAGTATGGTGATTGGCTACAACTCCTTCAGTCGTTGATGCAGCCTCGCCGCACCTCCCCACTTTGGAGCGGATCGCGGCACTATTCGATTGTAGTTGACGTCTAGCCTGCAAATCGCCCCGACAAGGATACTAGAACAAGACCGCAGGGTTACGTGAAGCTCCGAAGAGGCAGGGTTCCGTCCAAGGATAGTGCATGCGCGGCCTCTATCTCACGAATGCTCGGGAACATGCCGAGAGCATTAGCTTGTGCCGTCTTGTTTGTTTCAAAACTCAGATACGACTAAATTTGGGAGTCTAGACAGCATGGCAGCAAAAGCATGTGCGTGTAGATCCCCGTGAAGAGTCGGAGGTGGCATGGTTACGCGAATGACGACGCCTCAAAAGAGCAGAATTGCATGGACTATTGATGTTTTTTGAAGCAATTTGTTTTTACCTCGGTGTTCTAGGAGCCGAAGAAGAAGAGCATGTAAGCTTCACCGCTAAAGCTGTATGGTCCCGAAGCAGTCGGCTCCCATACCGAAAGCCAAACTAGAAGCCAAACATAGGGTTTGGCTTCGAGTGCTCCATTTGACGGTTGCGGGAACGGACACACTCGCTCGTTTAAGTGGTCCTGTCAATTGCATCCCAACAAGCCGGGAAGATGAAACGAGGATGGAAAACAAAACGATTGCACGGGACGACGTACGACGGTTGCATCCGTCGGCTGCAATGCCAGTCGAGACTGACCATGGCCCCGTCATTGTGTGTGGTTTCTGTTGCTGTTGCGATCCAGCACAGTGGATAGAGCTGTCATATGATGATCAAACAGCTCTCCTAGCTCAACAGCAGTGCCCCGCCAAGCAGTCGATTGGGCCTATGACTATGATTCACAGTGGAATGTTTCAACTAATCCTTGTAATGTGCGCGCTACAGATGTCATGACAGCGGTGTACGGGTTTAGTAGCGTAATGAGCAAGGTCTTGGACCGGCTCAACAAGGACGACGTGGTATTCAGGTAAGGCGCCCGTGGCGACATTGACGCTCGCGCCCAGAGGACGCATTGCAGGTGTGGAGATTGAGAGCCATAGAGAACAGGTTCCAAGTTCCGCTCATGTGGTAGTTCCGGGTTTACGAAAGGAGTGGATACAAGCGACGGCACACTTTGTGGAAATCACTCAATGGAGAGTAGGTATTAGCCACCAACCGGATGCTTTGGTATATTGTTTCTCCAGAACCCCAGCGATGAGGAGCGAGTTCGGATGCGAGGACGCTTGATCAGACAAAGAATGGTAATACTTCCAGATTAGTGGCAAGACCCTGCACCTGCAGGGCAACAAGGCAGATGACAAAACTTTTGCCTCAGGGTCTAAGACATGGGACTATTGTGGCACAGCCTCCCGGGAACGCGTCAAGAGGCAAGAGACGACAAGCAACGAAGGCGATGAGCAGGGCCAAGTGGGCGGGACAAGAAGCCGCCGCCGGAGTAGCAGCAGCAGCAGCAGCGGGAGCAGGCATTTGCATTGGACGAGACAGCACGGTTGAGATCTTCTAGCATATGGATGGAGATATTGTTACTTCGCGCAGTTTCAGGCCATGTGGACGTCGACGAGCACAGACCGGGTTTAGGGTAGTTAGAGGGAGCGCTTGATATAGTGGAGTAAGTAAGGCAAGCATGGCGTAATTGAACCCCCGCTAGGACAGTGACGCGAGCTGCGGAAAGGCTGTACGGTCAGATACGGACAAGGTAGGACGGTGGGGATCGGGTGCAGCACGGGCAGAAAAAAGCTGCCGGGGTCTTCGACCAAGTGCCCTTGTTCAGCGGGAGAGCGGGTCGCTTTGTGGAACAGATCGCCGAGTCAAAATAAAGAGGGCTTTTGGTTTTTTGGCCATAAGGCATGGGGGAATGCGATTTCGAATCAGAGGCAGCGTTGAGTAGTGGGGAGCTTGGGCCGAACGGCAAACAAGAATCCCGGAGTCATGGAATGGCGTCGAGCAGTCTGCGCTCCATGGGCGCTCATAGGCCAAGCGCCAGGCGAGGGCGCTACGCGTACTAGACGACGACGACGGCGCAGCCGGCTAGGGAATACATACTTACTAGAGGAAAATGCAATACGCATCCAAGCTCGGCGATCAGCGTAGCTCAGTCAGAAGAGGAAGAGACAGACAGGGTCGGGGTCGCGGGAATGCGACGGGCAAGGCAGCAGGAAATGATATTGAACAGAGGCCAAGCCAAGGGCAGCGCGGGTTTGAGCAGCTCCACAGCAATAAACTTGGGCTTCCGGATTCGGCTGCTGCGGCAAGTGTTTCCCTCTGGGCCTGGTAGCAAGTCAGACGATACGGCTTGATTGATAGAAGGAGAAAGGTAGATGCATGACTGCGGACGCCAATGCACGTATCCAGGGTAGTCCTGTCTTGGGCGAGCTGCAGGCCCATGGGTGTGCAAAATCAATGATTCGACGGCAGCCTGCTGACACTTTGTTCGCCTTGCTGGGAGACGGTCCATCAGCAGGTGGACAGGCGTGCTCACTGGTCGACATGGGGGGGAGTTTAGAGCGAACTGGTTGCAATGGCCGCTCAGAGCTGGCCGGCGGCGGTCGCGTCGGCAGCCGGAAGCGGCCATGATAGGCAGCTCTGGGCAATGGGCCACGGCCATGAAAGCTGAGAATGGACGGGAATTGTAATATGGAATGAAACGGGAAGAAGAAGACGAGGACGAGGACAATGAGGATGATACGGATAAGGATAGGGAGCATCATCAGCCGCGATACTACTTTACTACTATCACCCACTATCAGCGGCATGATGAGCTGAGGCAGCAGGCCCGGCGTGCTTCGGGTGCTTGGCCCAAGGGCGCTGTGGAGACTGGGCCGTCTGGCAGGAGGAAGGAGATCCAAGCTAGCGGTCGCTATCGCGCAGCAGCATGATGCGAGTAATCCTGTTCCGCTCCGTTGAAGAAGAAGAAGAATAAGAATAAGAAGAAAGCACAGGCAGAGCGGCATGGGCGCGTCTGCCCAGCAAGCCAGCTCCTAGCCGTAGCAGCGAAAAAGCCACCGGGTCGTGCAGGGCCGTAGGAGAGCCACTTTTTATCACACTGCAGCGCCTCTAATGCCTGAAGCTTGTCGCCGTCGTCATTGCGTGCCATTTGCTCACTAGACGACGTCTTGTCTCCGCCGTGCGGGCCGTCAGCTGCTGGGAGACAAGGGCATATCAGATTGGGCCTCGCCCATATTTCGTAATTGACCACAATCCAGAGGGCGTCGCTCCAGTCCCCGTCCGCACACACACACACGCACACACACATACCCGGCCTGGCCTCTGCTCTCGCCGCCCGCCTCTTGCCCGCCTCGCTGCGTTGCGCTGCCACCCAGCCTCTGTCCGCTGCCCGCCTGTCTGCCCTGTGTCTGTCTCCTCGGCCAGAATAGCCGCGCCCACGACGACGCTACGTTACGCTACTCTCTACATTCCCATTCCCATCCCCATCCATCCCTATCCATCCATATCCATCCCTCTACCAACCACGCACGGGGTTCCTGCTCCTACATACGCCGCGGTCTCCCCACCCCCCCGTCGTCGTCGTTGCTGGCTAGAAAGCCTGTCACTACCCAAGGTTCGTCTGCTTCCCATCCCCCAACCCCCCCATCCCCCCAGCCGTTCGCTCCGGTGCTCGTACACTCGTTCCTGTGTGCGCGTGTGTGTGTGCGCGCGTGGGTGCGAGAGCTGCCCTGCTTGCCCGGCCTGGTCGCGCTCCCGCCCCAGGACCCATCCCGCCCTAGCCAGCAACGCAACGCGCGCGCTCGAGTGCTGCAAGTCACCCTTACAGCGGCTGCTCGCAGACACACGCCTTGGGTTGCATCTCACGTGGCGTCTTTTTGCTCCACCGTCGGCTCCTGTCCACGGGCACTGATCGCGCACCGCGACCGAGCGCGCGACGCACTTTTGTTCTGCGCCAACACCTGAAACTCAAACTTAACGCCTTGTTAGTGTCTATCGATCAGCACGCGCGGACCGTCGCCGTCACCAACCCGTGCCTTTTTTACATATTCCTCCGCAATCCTGGGCTGTGCCACCTGTTCGTGCATCGAACAAGTAGACGCCATCGCCTTTGCCCACACTTGCCCGTACTTGAACTCGGCCTCTCGCTGCTTTGGCCAAAACACGAAGCGCGTGCCCTTGTCCGAGCCTTGGCCCCACCTGCGCCCTCCAACTCGCCCTCGCCTCTCTCGCCCCAACCTCAATCTTGGTTCGACCGCATCGACACCCCGTCCTTCTCCATCACCATCCAGCACATGACCGCCGCCCACAGCTCAAGCCCGTTGTGCGCCTAGCCCTACTAACCTCCCTGCGCCGATTGGGCCCGCCCTCCCTGAGCTTCACGACGCTCGACGGAAGCTTCCCTCGAGCTCGGTCGCTCCCGCGCCGCCTGGATGTACTCGGTGCATGTGCAACAGCCCATACAAATCATGTCAAATGGTGGCATTGGAAACGGCATCATGGATTCCGGTACCATTGACCCGTCGCGTAAGTAGTCGCGTCCCCTTCCCCCCCACAGCTGCCCTCTTGCTTTGCACCGGCCTGCGCGTCTGGTTACATCCGACGCAGCCTCCCGCGAGTAATTGTTGACCTTGGCCAGATGTCTTCTCCGGCCCCCCGCAGCCTGTCGCACAGCAACAGCAACAATCGCGCGGCCTGAAGCGCAGTCGCTCCCCCGATACCAGCTACGAGCTGCAGGGCGACGACACTCCAAACAACAAGCGCAGTCGTGGCCGCCCTTCAAAGGGCGCAGCCGCGCGACCCCCCTACGGCGGTTCTCCCAACCGCGGCTCCCAACCTCCCCAGACCCCATCGCAGCACTCAGGCGCCGCACCGCCCGTGCAAACCCCCCAGCTGCAGGCCACATCGCTGCCTAAAGCTTCCCCTCCCCAGGCGTCGCCACCTGCCAAAGCGACGCCCGCCAAGCCCACAGTCATCAAGGCGCTGCCCACTGTGCGCGACCATACGACTGATCAGCTCAATGCAGAAGGCGACGAATACATTCCGCGCGAAATCGACGAGGCGGGAGAGCGAAAGGTGACGCAAACCGGCCACCCGCTTGATGGGCGCGAATACCGATGCCGTACCTTCTTTGTGCCTAACCGAGCTGACAAGCTCTTCATGCTTGCCACTGAATGCGCACGCGTTCTGGGATACCGAGACTCGTATCTACTCTTCAACAAGAATCGATCACTATACAAGATCATTGCCACCCAGGCCGAAAAGGACGACCTCATTCACCAGGAAATTCTTCCTTACTCTTACCGTTCCAGGCAGATCGCCATCGTGACCGCCCGCTCCATGTTCAGGCAATTTGGCAGCAGGCTGATTGTCAACGGACGGCGTGTACGCGACGACTACTGGGAGAGCAAGGCCAGGAAACAAGGCTTCACTGAGGAAGATGCGGCAGGAGAAAAGAGACCTGGTGCAGCAAAGGCAAGAGAAGCAGCCGCCGCCGAAGCCAACCACGCCAACGCCATGGCCTTTGCCCATCCTGGAGCTTATACAGGCAACAACCAAGATTATCTAGGCTCTGCAATCAATCCTCTGCAGCCATTTGGTGGTCTCAACCCCGCTCCAGGAAGCATGCCGACCACAGCCCCGGATGCATATAGTCACCGAGCCACCACTGACCTCCAGCCTCGGGACTACAGTGGTGTTCAGCGCCCACGACACGAACTGCAGGGTACCCCCTACCAAGACATGACTAGGCCAAGCCCATCTGGAGAGATCCTCAACGCAGCTGCGCAGACAGCCGAGGTTAACAAGCAGCTTGAACAGCAACGCAAGAACCGAAAAGAGTATCTGAACGACGTCTGGACACGTCCGCATGAGCCGCCGGTGCAGCCGAACCGCCCAGGAACAGCAGAGGGAGAGCATGCTCCACAAGTCTCACAAGCTGTTCAGTCTCCGCGCATGTCTTCGACATCTGTGACCATGCCAGGAAGTCAATATGGCATGACAGCACAGACACCACAACGACCAGGGCAGTCCATGGGTGCGCAGGCTTACCGCCCGCAAACCATGCCCCAGAACAATATGGTCCCATCGCCCATGGCTCAACAGCACACTCCGCTCCGACCAGACCAGATGCACCGTCGACCACCGAGCATCGGCATGCCTCAAGGTATGAATGCTTCAAGCATGGGACCTGGAGGCATGCTCCCTAGCGTCCAACAGGCCGCGGGGCATGGATATCCACCATCGCACATGTGGCAGGGACCTTCACAGCCATCTCCCCTCTCTCAGCAGCACAACATGCAGCAATACGCTCAGCGCCCTCCTCAGCAGTCGCCACTTCCTCAGCAATCTCAGATGCACGCCTCGCCGCAGCTCCACCACGCCCAAAGTAGCGCTTCGATGCATGGCACTCCTGTTCAGCAATATCAGACTATGGGAGCCATGGGCGGTTCCATGCCTGGCGGGGACAGCGGGTACCAGGCAATGGGTCAAAACCCATACCAGCCTAGCCCCAGCCCTCACCAATTCATGCAACAGCAGAGTGCTGCTGCTCAGCAGCCT